AGGAATAGCACATACAGGACATCTTTTCTCAAGTATTTCAAAACCATAGCAACACTTGTATTTTATTTCTTTGTGTATAAAAGATGTGCAGAAAGATACATGCCTTATCAGATTTTATTTTATTGGGTATGGCTGTAGGTGACATTGTCTATAAAAATGAACTGCACAGCATCACATCAAGTACAGGCATCTTAAGTTCATTCATACAGTTCATCTCTCAAACTACCATGGTGAGATTTAAACACTGTGCAGCTCTAAACATTCAGCAAAAGGCTACAGTGTCTCAAGAGACAAAAATAGTAATGTTTTTCTAGAACTACCCATTTGATAATATATTTTGATAGGTTATATCTCCCACCAAAGTTAGGCCCCTTGTAAAAGGAGCCACCTACTTTAGATTCAGTCTAAACTAATAGACTCTACAGTGTTTTGTAACATTTGCCACTTACAGTAAAGAAAATAGGAACATCGTGAGTATAATGGGCACCACACTGTACATTCCTATTGGAATAATTTCTAGAATGTATATAACCCAGCACTAAGAGATGATGGGAAAGATTTACCACCTACAGATTAAAAAAAAAGATGCTAAGCTAGATGCTAGTTTCCTGTAAGGATGAATTTGTGCAAAAGTGCCTTTCTCCTCTGGAAATACATCCTGGCATTAGCTGACTGTACATTCTAACATTTTATAACATAAAAAGTGAAGGCAGGAGATATGGCTGAGGGGTATAAAGCACTTAGCAAAAGCAAGCCCCTGGGTCCATCTCCAGCCCTGGAAATCACAAAGCAAACATCTGGCTCTTCCATAAGATTAAATAACCTGATACTGAAACATGGTGACATTTTTACAAGAGCTGTACCTAGGCATCTGATCAATGTTCTGATTGATAATTTGCACTCTTTTTCACCAGTAAAGGCTCAAGTTGGGAATTAGTGTATATAGAAATGAGCTGCTGGGCTCGGACCGTGAAGCAGTATGAAGTGTTACCTGTCTTCCCTCACTGCGCCCTCAGCCATTTTCTATTCATTTTAACCTGCTAACTCTTCTGCTTCCATCTTGATCTCATTTCCTAACCATCTTAGAGCTTCTAATCAAAGTCTGGATTTCTTCAAAGATCAGCTGAACTTGGCGACCACCACTGTGGCACAATGTCTGAAGCATAGGGAAGAGGCCATATTCTATGGGCTTCCTTGACCACTTGTATCTTTTGTAACATACCTGCCATAGATAACATCTCATTGAAAGTGTAAATTAAGATCCATTTTCAGAGATGTTTGACAGGGGAAAAGAAAATGCACAGTGTGAAAACTTATGGGAAAACAACGCCAGAAAACAAGCAGAAGCTACAAGGACCAGGGGTTGGCATCTTAAAGACAAGCAAAGTCACCTCATGGTCTCAGCAAACTACAGACGTCTATATCTAGGGACAACTAAATAAGTTTAGTTATATGAATTCTTCTATGTTTCAAGACACTTCCTAGGAACTTCATCCCACAAATCAAGGTTTGTTATTTGCACTGTCTTCTAGCCCAATTAAAAACAAAAAGTGGTAAATAACAACCTAAAATCAGAAGGAATTGTTAAGTGAAACATTCTTGCCCCAGTTGTTGGAATTACACTTATTACAGATACATCCCATTGATGAGGTAGTCAGATTCCTCAGATGTAATGGGACGGGCTTTCTTAAGTTTCTGTTTCACCAGTCGGAGTCGGCAAGCCACCATGAGAAGCAGCAAAGCAGTGATGGCCAGCCCCAGTGCCAAGGGGAGCACTGCACCTGTGAAGGTCAAAGACAAAGGGTCAGTCCCTGGCAACAGTGCAGCGACCGGTCACTACGAGACAAGCACTTAGCAGGCTCTCCACCTAATTAGGCAACTAAAACTGGCACTATTTTTGGTTAAGGTGCAGAGAGGTTAATCTGAGTGCCTGTCTTACCTATTACAGATCTAGTCTTAAACCCAGATCTCTTCAAAACCAAATCCTGTACCAGGTTCCTAGAACATATGCTTGGCATCAGAGGGTACAAACCCAGCAGTGAGGTCACTCATCGGAATATAGTAGATACTGTGGCCATGGGAGATTTTTTCTTTGTGGTCATGGATTACATTCATGGATTCATACATGATCAATCTCTCTAGATACAGACTAACTCCTGATTTCTGGTTCTGTGTAGGGCTTAAGATACTTATTTCTTTTTGTAAATCCATGTGCCCTACTGTCAGCCACTGGAATATTTATTGAAAACTAACTTCAAAATGTTAGTATGCCAGATGTGGTGGCTCATGCCTTTAATCCCAGCACTTGGGGCACAGGCAGGCAGATCTCTGTGTTTGAGGACAGCCTGGTCTACATAGTGAGACCCTCTCTCAAAAAACAGCCAAAAACAAAACCAAAAATTATGTGTTGGTATCACTTTGGCCACTGGTGAGTAAGAAAAACATCTCTAGTTTCTCCTTTGGGGCTGGTCCAAGACAGCACACCAGAGCAGCCTGTAGAGTTTTCCAGTCTGTAAGGGGCATGGTGTGCCCAGATCTGTGTTCCGGTCAAGCTCAGCAGGTACTATTCTTAGCCTCATCAGCTCTGGACCAGAGCCAGGTTTGTTTGAAGATGCGATGGTAGGACTATTTTTAGTTGCAATTTGCAACTGGAGGAACAAACACCTCCATATGGAGCCTGACTCTGTAACACTTTTTCTTTTTTTGCTCATTTATTTTGTGTTAATAAATAGCTTTCCATCTGCCAATCATCAACCTAAGTGCTAGCTAGCCATCAAAGCTAAGCATTTTTTTACTTGTCAATTTAAAAAATACCCAGACCCAAGGATAAGCTAAAGTGAAGAGTGCCAGCTTCAAAGCTGAAAGCACTGAATTCTTACAACCACCTGAGCTGGTACTGTTGTACCATTTTACAAGCGAGGGAACTATGGCATCAGGAACGGAGGCGTCTAATACTGTGCTGTAAGTGGTGGAGCTTGGACTGCACCCCAGACAGGACAGAGCCTTCCCCAACAGGGAAATGAGAACATTTCTGAATAACAACTCTGAGTAGATAGACCTTTAATGATACACTGCAATGAAATATTATAGGTATTTCAAATAATAGAGTTTTATTTGAAATCCAATATGAACAGGAGTGGTCCACCTGTCTGGAAGGTAAGAATTGTGCTGGAGTGTTTTTGAGGTTATGTGGGAATTCTTTTGGGGTGAGTGAGATACATTTATTGCACACATTTTTCTTGAATATATGTGTACATTTTTGGACATTTTCTGATAACATGCCTATAGAAGATTCAGGTGGAATCTTCCTTTGGGCTCTTGGATTAACTGGTCTAAATATGTGGGAACCGTTAGTCTAAAGGTAGTGGCTGCAGCCCTAAAAGTGGGCGAGCTTGCCAGACAGGCAGAAAGGATGACCAGAGGGTGGGCAGACAAGAAGACCAAGGATTAAAAGACACAGAAGTAAGCCGGGCATGGTGGTATATGCCTTTAATCCCAGCACTCAGGAGGCTGGGTGGATCTCAGTGAGTTCAAGGCCAGCCTGATCTAGATAGTGAGTTCCAGGACAGCTGGAACTACAGGGAGACCCTGTCTCAAAAAGGCCAACAAAAAAAAAAAACAAAAAAAACAAAACAAAACAGAAGTAGGGCAACAGAGGATGGCGGATTAGCAACAGTAAATTTTTTTTACAGAAGACTGAAGGCATGGCTATTTTCTCTCTTGTACACTGAGACCTGACTGCTTGCAGCCACAGAGGGAATGAGCCAGTGGAGAGCGGAAAATTAATAGATAATTGAGAAACACACCTGAGGAAGTACAAGGAGCTACATTAAGATCTGGGAGAGGGTTGCACCCCTTTGATCCCAGCACTGGAGAGGTAGAGGCAGGAGGAGCTCTGAGATCAAGGCCAGCCTTTTACACAGTTCCAGGCCATCTGGGGCTACAGAGAGTCCCTGTCTCAAAAAGAAAAAAAAACAAACAAAAAAACAAACCAAGATCTGGGAGAGATGGCCTAGGAGAGAGGGACACCTTTCTCCTGCTCTGGAGGAAAGGAAGAGAGGGCAAGGGCAAAGCCAAGTTTCTACTTTTGAGGGTGGGAAGCTGAGGAAGTTCCCTCCAGACAACCTAGCGTTCTGATAGAGGAAGTTTTGAAAGGCTTAAGTGGCTCGAAGGTTGGAAACATGACAAAGTGACTTTGTTCACCTCCCCTGGAAACTCAAATATCCTTAAACCACTTCCTGAAAATTGGAATACAACACCTGGCCCTACTTCTGCCTGTTCAGGGAAGGAAAATTATTAAGACCCTCCCAGACCTCACAATGTGCTAGAATTGATTAAGATAAAAACCCATGTTTAGGCTACAGGGGAAGCAAATTGCAGGTGACCATCTCAATCCCAATCCAAGCCCTGTGACTCAGGCACAGCTAGGGTGACAAAACACACCACACACATACACAATCTAGGAAAATTCTGTTTGCCAAGTGAGGTATGAGATTGCTGAACTGTCAAATCTGATCCTTGTTTAGTGCTTTGATGACAAGAAAAATGAAATTTATAAACTAGTACTTGCAGAATACTGAAATTTATTCTTTGTTTTGTTTTTTAATGAGTTGCTACATTTGACTTTTAGCTTGGGTGCTGGGGATAGGAACTCAAGTCTTCATGCTTGCATTGCAAGCACTTTTTACCCACTGAGCCATCTCCCAGCACCCATCTCCTTTAAAAAAGTTACTTATTTTTACAAATATTTATTATATTTGCATTTTATGTGTATGTGTGTATTGCCTGCATGTAGGTAAGTGCACCCATGTAGTGCAATGCCCGCAGAGGACAGAAGAAGATGTCGGATCCCCTGGGACTGGAGTTAACAGACAGTTGTTAGCTGCCATGTGGGTGCTGGGATTCGAACCCTGGTCTCCTGTAAAAACAGCCAGTGTTCTTAACCTCTGAGCCCTCTCTCCAGCCCCACTTATTTTTATTTTATGTATATGAGTGTTATGCCTGCATGTATGTAAGTGCACCTGTGTTGTACAGTGCCCATGGAGGACAGAAGAAGGCATCAGATCCCCTGGAACTGGAGTTACAGACAGTTGTTAGCTGCTATGTGGGATTTGAACCCGGGTTTTCTGCAAGAGCAGCCAGTGCTCTTAACCACTGAGCTATCTCTCCAGCCCCACCTCTCCTTTTTCTTCACACAGAGTCTTACTCTACAGCCCAGGCTGGCCTGGAACTCACTATGTAGCTCAGGCTGGCTTTGATTTTGTCACTATCTTCCCACTTCACACTCTGGAGTACTGGGATTATAGGTATGAGCCACTTGCGCAGCTGTGTTTGTGTGCATGTACATGTGCTCACAGGTACATGTGCATGTGGAGGTCAAAGTGGACATCAGGCATCTTCCACTATCTCTTGCCCTTGTCTTGTGTTTTTGCTGGGTTGAAAGGCATGTGCCACTATACCCAACCACCTTATCTTTAGAGACAGGGACTCTCACTGAACCCAGAACTCTTATTAGCTAGAGTTTCTGGTCAGCAAGCTCCAGGGACCCACCTGTCTCCAATTCACCAGTGTTAGATTTGTGTGGCCATGTCCAGCTTTCACATGGGTGCTGGGGTTCCAAACTGAGGTCCTCATGCTTCCATGATACGCACTTTACCAATTGAGCCATCTTCCCAGCCCCATGTTCTTTTGAAATAGGGTTTTGCTATGTAGCCCAGGCTGGTCTCCCTCTTGTGAGTTTCCCTCCTGCCCCTGCTTCCCAAGTGCTGTAATCCTAAGGGATTATAGGCATATACCACCACACCTGATTTATTATTCACTTTTTAACCTTAGTTGACATCGGTTTCTTCTTCATACTTTTAGTTCAGGTGATTTAAAATTTTTCCCCAACCTCTTCTAATACACAGAGATAGAATTCTCAGTAACCAGCTAAGGTGAAGCCACTCTCTGACACACATGGGGGTGGTGGCACACGCCTTTAATCCCAGCATTCAGAAGGCAGAAGCAGGTGGATCTCTGTGAGTTTGAGGCCAGCCTGGTCTACATAGTGAGTTCCAGGCCATCTGAGGCTACAGTGAGACCCTGTCTCAAAACAAAACAAAAACAAAAACAAAAAAACCCAGTAAAAAACACATCAACAAAAATCCTATCTTAATAAATTCCAACTTTGCTTCATAAGAAACTAAGATGGTGAATTTTATATTTTGTTCATATGAATGGAAATGACACTCAAGACATCTTAACAATTAGAATCAGCACCAGCCAATTAGAACTGACCCTCCAGAGACATCTGGCAGTGGGATCTGGAGGGAGGCTGTTTTCACTCTCTTTGTCAATGGGTGACAAGGACTCTTTTATCCAAATATCCTGAGACAAGCCAATGTTCATTAGGCCAATGACAGTAGGGGAAGCAGCCAAGTACTTAACGCCTGGATTATTCTCAGACATAAATTGTTTAAAAGTTGTATTTTGAGAGCCGGGCATGGTGGCACATACCTTTAATCTCAGCACATGGGAGGCAGAGGCAGGTGGATCTCTGTAAGTTTGAGGCCAGCCTGGTCTAATAGTGAGTTCCTGGCAAGCTGAGGCTACAGGGAGACCCTGTCTCAAAAAGATCAAAAAAAGAAGAAAAAACAAACCTGTATTTTGATATTATTCTGATATAAAAGGAAATGAACGGTGTTGTCCAGATATTACAAAGGATACTATGGAAGGAAAGAAAGATTTTAGGTTTATAGGAGAATCATATTTTGTTTTGCTAAGTCTTTACTGAATAGTTTGTGGGATTTAGGACTAAAGTCTGGCTTTCTATGGGTTTATGTCCAAAGTGTTTTCTTTCTAGTAAAAACATCTAAAATGATGGAACTGTAGTAAATCTCTACTTAGTATATTTTCTGACTGCCTCCTGTACTCTTTCCACATTACTGTGTGTTCTAAGCTCAAAGTCTTTTCTTCACTCTTCTACACCACAATTTAGTATCAATTTAGTACTAAATTTAGTATAGTATTAAGATAATAGCTGTCATTTACAACCAAACTATGTAGCAGTGTGAACAGAGGCATCATTTATCCTCTCTAATAACCCTATAAGGCAGAAGTTGTAACTATCATCTCCCCAATGAAGAAACTGGGATCCAGAGATAAGAATCATCCCATAATTGTTGAGTTTAGTGGTACAGGATTTGAACTGTGGTATCTGATCTTGGAGTTTGTATTCTTAGCCTCTATTCTATACATGTGACTTTTCCTATAGTGTCACACCTGGAAGGATGTGTGAAAGACAAAGCGAGGTTCATAGATAGGAAGCTACTGTCAAGGGTGCCATGATGCACTGGGACCTAGAAGACGAGAAGACAGTTCTGGTCCATGGAGCTCTGCTCCACTGTGAACACTCAGAGCTACATCTGACATCCAATCAGGGCACATGTGGTTCTGTGGCTCTCCCTATGCTGCAGTGTGTTTCTAAGGTAAACACTCACCTGCTTCTGGGGCTGGATGTTCCCCTCTTCCTCGTTTACTCTTGGATTCAAAAATATAATTTTCCTCTTTTCTGTTCTTCCCTGAGGAATTATTATCTGTGGGAAGTAGATAGTTAAAGGTATGTTAGAAACTTCAGGACATAGACATGAAAATGTAGCCTTGTTTGCTTTTTTTTTTTTTTGAGACAGGGTCTCCCTATAGCTCCAGCCAACCTAGAACTCACTATATGAACCAGGCTGACCTTGATCTCACAGATACCAACTGCTTCTGCATCCTGAGTGCTGGGATTGAAGGTGTGTGCTACTGTGCCTAGGTGGTTTACTTTTTAAAAGATGGATTTAGAGAAAGGAATTATAGGATTTATTTCTTAAATAGACACATGCTCATGTTTAATACTAAAACTGGATGCCAACATTATCAACATGACCAACTTAATGAAGCAGACCATGTGGCCAATACACCCCTGAACCAAGGAAGGGGGGAAACACGCTATGCCCAAATTACCCTCTGGAGCAAGGAAAGCCCTCAGCCGCAGTCAAGGGCAACTTCTAGATGCTGGTATAGGAAGCTGAGAAAAATCAGAACAGGTCTTTAGACATGCCATGAAACCTTACTCAGCCTGTGTGGTAGGTAGTAATGATTCATTTCTGTTGGGATCAGACCCCTCCCCCCCCATACTCAGTTGATGCAGACTAGAACTTCTAGTTTAATGAAATATTACTTGTTTAACTCTTCTATTCGGTTATTATATAATGTTCAGGGAAAATATCCACAAATATCATATTTTTGGCTTTTTACTGGCAGCCTCTGATAAGCCCAGGCTGTAACTTAACCCCATTTCCCAAGGAGTACATTCATAGTATTTGTACATTTATTACTTCGACAGGATAAGACTTAATGATTGGAGGAGTTACTCTCATCCTGTGGTGTGAATTCAAGCAGGGTTGTGAATATTATAGTGCCTAATGGAAATAAGTTAGAAATGATCGCTTTACATGAGGAGTTTTAATGAGAAAATTTTTTTACTAATGAGGCTTCTTATGTGGCATCAACAGGAATGTTCATACTCTTTGCAACTGAAGTTTAAAGGTAGTGTATAAAATTATTTGGTACCTTATCTGCGTGAATATACTAAGCATCATAAAGTCAATTGACTAAAGGAATTTGTAGTCAGTCAGCTGCCTACTAGAGCCACAAAGCAATGACTTAAAGGGATCCCTGCAGTCAAATACACTGTTTCCCTAAGGCCTCCTGAACACTCTTTTCACAAAGTTGTTTATTGTCTTGTTTCATGAACTTTTCCTGGGCAGCCACAGACAAGCATTTACTTACCCCAGATAGGGCACTGACAACAGACCGAAATGTGATTCTACCAAAGTCATTTGGCGAACCAATGGGCTTACTTATAGAATATGGGCAAGAGGTTGCTCTCAAGAGCACAAGTGACTTCCAAACAGCCAAATCATTGAAAACACTCATTCCAACATGGATGATGACTTCCCCAGAGGTGCCTAGATCAAGTCCCCATTTTAGCTAAACTTCTACCCTCTTCTGCCCTCTCTATACTTGAGAATCTCCTGAAACCATGAGGCCTCATTCAGCTGAGGCAGAATTATATACATTGGGTTGGGAGGTACAAGGGGGACTGGCTGAGATGTCTGTCTAATGACCCTCCCCCACCTCTCCTTTTATGAGGGACCATCAACAGTCAACAAGCCTGATCCTACCTGAGGGTCCCTTGCAAGTAGTACATATGCTCTGATAAAGGTGGTAATGGCTGTCATGCTGGGAGGATAACACTATACAATACCTGTCCATCACTATATCACCCAGACCATTTCTTTTTTCACCTTTGAAGCAGCTCTGATCATGGCCCTTCTCTCTGTTCTCACCACCATGACCTTGGGTCTTTAGTACCCTTGGCCTGAGCACTCCAAGAGCCTAAGAGTCTCTTCCTGCATTTCTGTGCCCAGAAACCCTATTCAGACTTGTCCATTAGTAAGTACAGACCTGAGGGCCCATGGAACTTATAAAGGCCCACAAATGTTTTCTTTCTTTCTTTTTTTTTTTCTTTTTGAGACAGGGTCTCCTTGTAGCCCCAGCTGTCCTCGAACTCACTATGTAGACCAGGCTGTCCTCGAACTCACAAAGATCTGCCTGCCTCTGCCTCCTAAGTGCTGGGATTAAAGGTGTGCGCTACCACGCTCAACCTTTATTTTCTTTTAAAATCCTAAGGACTCCAGACATGGTGCTACACACCTTTAATCCTGGCATTCGGGAGGCAGAAGCAGGCAGATCTGGTCTACATTATGAGATCCAGGCCAGCTGGGGCTACAGGGAGACCCGGTCTCAAAAAAGAAAAACAAATCTACAGGGAAAAGAATCAATATAATAGATAATGAATATATAATAGTAAATTCAGCCTGGATTGTACTCATTTTCATACCAATTTGGTCAAAATATACTATTTCCCAGACCCAGCCACAAGCTCTGAACAATGTGGCAAATCAATTCCAGAGAAGCCAATTATTTTTTCTGCAATGATCTTTGCAGAGGCATTCCTGTCCTGGGATGCTCTTTCCTCTTTGTGAGCTCTGCACTGTCGTTATTACACACAGGCGCACGCTCACTGACGAAGAGGCAGCAGGAAGGAAGCTGCTTCCATTTCATTTTCAATTGCTGGAACAACTTCATGTTCTGGAAGAAGGTGGAGGCACCAGCTGACAAAGTGACTACTGTATGTGCCTGCTTTCCAGAGTGTTCTGCAGCTTGCTGTGATCACCAGCCACCCCAGCCTACCAACATCAACATCAGCATGGTCCTTTCATGCTGTTCAATGGTGGATCACATTGCATGTGTGCAATGTAGATTAAGAAGGAGCTCTCCTCAGAAAATGTTCATTATTGCTCATTTGTGGGAAGTGAATTTCCTCACACCAGGTCTTCTACCTATTTGTGGTAGATTCCTGGTTCCATGATGGAAGATGACTTTATAGCTATTCTGTCTATCACATTTCCACAGATCTAAACTATCGCCTAGTACTGTGGTCTTTTTAGTTTCCAAACAGTTCCTCCATAAAATGAAATGTGAAAAGACTAGACTAGAACAGAAAAAAAAAAAAATCTTAAAAATCATTAGAGCTGGTAGAGTGCCAGCTTAAAATACAAGAGGCCCCAGAGTTCAGCCCCCAGCATTAAATAGTAAATGACTGTCCTTAAACGACATGCCTTTTACAATAACATGAAGATTGCTTACTGCAGTTATCTCTAACAATAAACTAACCAAAGAGGCTTTGGTATATTCAGCAGAGGAATCCATGGAAAGAAGAATTTCACACCCATATATCAGAAAATGTATGTTCTTCTATGTATGCTTTGGTCCGGTTCCTTAAAGAATTTGGCTGAGGGGCTGGAGAAATGGCTTAGCAGTTAAGAGTGCTTGCTGCTTTCACAGAGGAACAGGGCTCAGCTCCCAGCACCCACATGGCAGCTATGAACCACCTGTAACTCCAATTCTAGGGGATCTAATGACCCCTTCTGGACTCTGAAAATTTGCATACACATGGTGCACTTACATACATGCTGGCAAAACACTCATACATATAAAATAAAAATAAATAATTAAAAAAAAGAATTTGGCTGACCTGCTCTGTTAAACATGAGTTCTCAAGTTTCCAATAAATAGAGCCCATGTAAACACAAGCACAATGTGACTTTTCTAGCTTTATAGGGCAGGAAACCAGATTTCTTTCCTCCAGCTTGATGGAATACAAGAGCACAGCCTTGTTAATGAATGACTTGGACCACACAGAGAACAGGCCTCACAGCTGTAACTTCATTCAGCAACAATCCAGCCTTTGTGCTGTGAGGTGCTGAGCAAACACAGGCCACACTGGAGTTCTGTGCTCCCAAAGGCAGGCTCAGAGTGTACTAGCATGAATTCACTGTGTAACCAAACATTTATACAAGCATTTCATCTTATGCCTAAGTAATGTGCCTGGAATAAGTTACCAAGGGATAACTTGGGTCAAAGTATTACAGTTTTAAGTCTTCAGAAACAGCTTCATAAAAGACTTGTACTAACCTATATACCTAGGTTCAATTCCGGTATAGCTATTTATTTAGCTATACTGGGATTGAACCTAGGATTTTGCACTTTAGGACTTACAAATAGTCACGGATTACAAAACAGAATTTACCACTCAGCTATATTCTGTGTCTCCTCACCGTCTACACTGCATTATTATTATAAATCTTAGTATTTTGTGTGGGAATGACTTCTGGACAAAGATTTATCTAATCTTGTAAACCAAAAGCTAATTTTATGTTCCAAGATCATTTAACTCTATCTCCGCTTATTTATAATGTAAACAAGCTTACAAGGCCTTGGACTCCTCTTGTAACCTAAACATACAGCTTTAATCCCTTATGACCATTTCTTGTCTTTGATCCAGAATACTGTGTATGTGTGTGTGTGTGGGGGGGTGAATATCAAAAGCAGCAGTGGATATTCTTTGGAAGCAATGAGAATTATCCTGTTTTTATTGCAAACAACAGAATTAAATTGATAACAACTGTTCTTGTGTTGTTCTAGGTCACACACAAGGGTTAGAAAGAGCAAATTCTTCTCTGATAAGACAAGGGACTGCTTTTACTTCCCCATTTCATGCTGGATATATAATTTCAAAAAAAAAGAGAGCAAGGCTTTTGTTCAATTGCACAGTTCCAGGAGAAATGTGAAGAACAAATTCTGATAACAGTTCCAGCCCCATTCTTGGTTTAAATAGATGCAAAGAGTCAGGCTGTCTTTATTCAGGCATCATCGTAATGTAGCATCGTCCTGTCACATTCTGTCTACATGTCTTTAATGAGGCATGTCTACATGCCCATGGGGAAAGGCACAGCAGGAAACTGAAGCTGTTTGTATTTATTGTACTAGCTGCAGATCTTTTTAAAGCTCATGCATGTGTCATAAATAATGATGCATTTTAAAATCAATTTCTGTCTTGTTGAGTCTAATTCACATGAAATTGGAGGCCACGGATCCTAGTCTGGTGATATTAGAGATAGTGGAGGAAGAAGGCAGTCTAAACAGAAAGCAACACTCTCAGGGTTCTTTTTATCATTGTCAAATTCTGTTCTTCACCTCTGGACTTTCAAAAACTGTATTTTAAAAATATTTATTTATTTATTTTAATGTATGAGTGTTTTGCCTACATGTATGTAAGTGCACCCATGCATGCAATGCCCATGGAGGTCAGAAGAAGGCATTGGATCCCCTGGAACTGGAGTTGCAGATGGTGGTTAGCCACCATGTGGGTGCTGAGAACTAAACCTAGTTCTTCTGCAAGAGCAGCTAGTGTTCTTACCTGTTGAGGCATCTCTCCAGTCCCCAAACTGTATTTTTAGTGAGTATTTAATAACGTGATAATGCTAAGAAAAGTAAAAGTTGTATAAAAATATTACGTTAGTCTTGTTAAAAATGAAGAGATATGTATGCATTGTATAAAGAAATGTAATTTAAAAAATGTAACAAAATGTTAATGGTGAGTTTGTTAGATGATATTAATTTTCTTCTTTACATTTTCCTTTATTCTCCCAATTTTCTATAATAAATATATATTTTTGATAATAAGATGTCCTAATATATTGCTAATATTTAGATAGCTAGTGTCTGCATCTGTGAAATACCATTCCTTGTCTTTATAGCTAAAAACAAAGGGTTTATTACGAAAATGGACAAAAATAGAGATCATCAACACACTTCAAACTGGTCCACTCAATGGTTGATGGATAGCTGGGAACAAGATTTTCAAAATGATTTTGAGGCCAAGTCCACACTCCCCCAGGACAGTGCTGTTATTGACAGGCAACACCTAAAAGGGCTGCTGGAGCAGAGTTTGAACATCAGGCTCTTTTTTGGTCAGTCAGCGCAAGACATGACCTAGGCTTCTGGCTGAGATTCCTGGTTAACAATGAAGAAATTGAGGGCCAGAAATAGGAAGCAACTTACTCAAAGTTTCTAAAGGCGGAGAGTAGACAAGAACCTAAGGAGCTCTACTGGGCTTTGGTCTCCACTCTACTTTCAGCTAATGCCTTCATGGCTACATGGCCCTCTCTTCCACCTTGACACAGCAGAATACATCCTGGTCTCTGAGGATAAACTCTCTTCCCCTTCAGCATTCCTGCCTAGGACACTTGGCCCTCCCTGACTGTTCTTAGGTGGTGGCTAGCTCCCCATACAAATCTGGCAGAGGAAACCTGACAAATCCTAACTTGCACCTGGTGAATGACCCACTCAGTACATGGCAGGAGCAACAAGGCCTGGATGGAGAGCTGACAGCTGAAGTGTGCCTAGCAGCCTTAGCACTGTCAGAGCAAGCCCCTCATGGAATCCAGCATTTTGCAGACATGTATGTGTACAGTCACTTAAAATGTACAAAGTCTACAAAAAAAATCTGGGAGGAAATATACCAATATATTAAAAATAGTTGTCAATAAATGGTGGTATATTAAGCCATTTTCATGTTTTTATTATTTTGCTTCTTTGACATTTTGTACAATAAACATTTTTTGTTAAAGTTGTTAAAATAATGAGATTATTTCAATGAAAAATATGCAGACTTTGAGTACTAGAGTTACAAAAATACACAGAAATGAAGTAATCTGCATTTCTGTCTCCTATAGCACATAACCATGCAAATATAGAAACTGAACTGACAGAATCTGTAATATAGTAGCAGTGTAAACATATTTTATTATTTTAGAATATTTTATTATTTTTATTTTATGTGTATGAGTGATTTGCCTGAATATATGTAAGTGCACCACATGTGTGCAATGCTTATGGAGGCCAGAAGACAGCATCGGATCCCCTGAAACTGGAATTACTAACAGTTGTTAGCTGTCATGAAGGTACTAGGATCCAAACCCAGGTCTTCTGGAAGAATAGTAAGTGTTCTTAACTGCTAAGTCACCTCTGCAGGGCCAGTATGAACATTTTTTTTTTTTTCTTTTTTTATGGGTCTTTTTGAGACAAGGTCTTCCTGTAGCCCCAGCTGTCCTGTAGACCAGGCTGGCCTTGAACTCACAGAGATCTGCCTGCCCCTGCCTCCTGAATGCTGGGATTAAAGGCGTGCACCACCAAGCCCAGCTGTGAACATATTTTAAAACCTTATTAGCCTTATTAAAAAACAAATGACAACAAACCCTGATAAACTTTTTTTTAAAGTTTTAATTATTTTTATTTTATGTGTATGTGTGTATTGGTTGCATGTAGGTAAGGGCACCCATGTCATACAATGCCCACGTAGGTCAGAAGAGGCTGTTGGATCCCCCTGGACTGGAGTTACGGACAGTTGTTAGCTGCCAAGTGGGTGCTGGGATTTGAACCCGTGTCTTCTGCAAAAACAACCAGTGTTCTTAACCACTGAGCCATCTCTCCAGCCCCAAACCCTGATAAACTTTTAACACTGACTTAATCATACATAAAATAGCCCATTTTATGATGGCATGTGTGTTCTTTAGGTGAAGACTTAATAGTACATAAACAGGCCATTTTATGATGGCATGTGTGGTCTTTAAGTGAAGAGGGTTTACATAAATATGTGCAGGTTACAATGCTTCATCTCATCGGCATTAGTTTCTTCAAGCTTAGTGTTGAAACGACTCTGATTTATTTCTAAATAGTCAAGTATGTACCTATATGAATGTATAGTCAGCCCTCCATATCTGAGGGTTCTGTATCCATGGGTTCAACCAATCTCAGATCTAAAATACTTCTAGTAAAAAAAAATGTGGGGGGCTAGAGAAATGGCTCAGCAGTTAAGAGCACTGGCTGCTTTTGCAGAGAGTACCCAGGTTCAATTCCCAGCACCCACATAGCAGTAACAATCATCTGTAACTCCAGTTCCAGAGGAATCCAATGCCCTCTTCTGACCTCCACAGACACTGCATGCCTGACACAGATGCACTTACACACATGCAGGCAATATACTCATACACATAAAATAAAAATAATAAAATATTTTTAAAAAATTGTGCCTGGACATGGTGGTGCATGCCTTTAATCCCAGCACTTGGGAAGCAGAGGAAGGCAGATCTCTGTGAGTTCAAAGTCAGCCTGGTCAACATAATGAGTTCCAGGCCAACTGGGCTAGAGAGATCCTGTCTAAAAAACGAAAACAAAAAAATAAAATTGTGTACGCAGCTGAGGGTGTAGTTCAGTGGTATAGTGAGTACTTTACACATGTGGGGCCCCGAGTTTAATCCTCAGAGCATTCACACACACACATGCACACACACACACACTCTCTCACAAATTGTGCTTGTACCGACCACATACAGAGACCACTTTTTCTTGTCCTTAGTCCCTTAGCCCCTTAAAAATATAGTATCAGAACTATTTCTACAGCACTTACATTGTATGAGATATTATAAGTAATCTAGAGATGACTTAAAAGTATTTAGGAGGCTATGTATAACTTACATGCATGTAAAATGTAAGCATTTTTTCATTTATTTATATTATCTGTATGGGGGGTATGCAGGCATGTCCTGGCCCACGTGTGAGGGGTCAGAGGACAACCTATAGGAGCCAATTCTCTCTTTCCACCATGTAGGTTCCCAGAGATGGAACTCAGGTCCTCAGACTCAGTACCAAGTGCTTTTACTTGCTGAGCTATCTTGCTGGCCCTATAATATCAATTTTATAAAAGGGGCTTGAACATCTTTGAACTTTAGTATCTCATGGACCCTGGAACCAGTCCCTCATGAATACCAAAGGATGACCATATTTACTAGATATTCCTTACCATAAATTAACACTTAATTTATTTTTTCAGTGCTAGGGATCAAATCCAGGTTGGACAAGTGCTCTACACTGAACTAAATCCCCAAACCTCCTTACTATAAAATTAATTAGTACAAATGTTGGGGTTGTTTTGTTTGTTTCATTTCTCTTTTTGGGGGGGCTGAATTCTTTATTTTAATTTGAATTATTCTATCTTTTGAGGATATTTCCTTGGCATTCTTCAAACATGCAAACATGAAACTTAACTTCGAGCCACATTAACAATAGAAAATGAAGGCTATTCATGGAGAACCCAGTTTGAGTCCTTACCTGGCTCGATGGGAATGATTTGACTCTCGGGTGCCCTCTCAGCAGAATGATTCCTCTTTTCTGTGTGTGATAAGGTAGCTGGTTGATTTGGGGTAGTGGCTTTCTGGGACTTTTCCAACCAGGGAGCTCCTGTACCTTCACTCACCCCTGTGGTTCCTGACTGGGCAGGACTAGCCACCGTATGTGTCACCATCTTACGGTCTAGGCCCACTGCAAAAGAACCAAGTTATTTGTTGGATTTGTTTTTGTTTTTAAAATGTCTTTGTTTTTATTTTATGTGTATAAGTGTTTTTCTTATATGTATGTAGGTACACCATATGTGTGTGGTGCCCTGCATAGGCCAGAAAAGGGTGTCGGATCCCCTGGAACTGGAGTTAGGGATGGTGGTTAGCCACCAGGGAGGCGCTGGGACCATTCAACCACGTCTCCAGTCCTGGATTTGTTGTTGTTCTGCTTTAATTTGTGTATGGGTATGCATCCATATGCATGGGGAGGCTAGAGGACAACCTTATTTGTTGTTCCTTAAGTGCTGTCTATGTGTGTTTTTTGCTTTTGTTTTTTTTTTTTTTTAAAAGTATTTTATTATTTTTATTTTATGTGTATGTATGTATTGCCTGGTAAGTGGACCCGTGTTGTGCAATGACCTTGGAAGACAGAAGAAGCTGTTGGATCCCCTGAAACTGGAGTTACGGACAGTTGTTAGCTGCCATGTGGGTACTGGGATTTGAACCCAGGTCTTCTGCAAGAACAACCAGTGTTCTTAACCGCTGAGCCAACTCTCCAGCCCCTGTTTTATTTATTTTTTTAAGACAGGGTCTCCCTGTAGCCCAGGCTGGCCTGGAACTATGTAGACCAGGCTGGCCTTGATCTCACAGAGACCTGCCTGCCTCTCCCTCCTAAATGCTGGGATTAAAGGTTAGTGCCACTACGCTTAGCCCACCTTAGGTTTTGAGACAGAGTCTCTCAGCAGCCTGGTACTTACCAAGGAGGCTAGGCTGGTTGGCCAGTGAGCTCCAGGAATCTGCCTGTCTCTGCCTCCCCAGTGCTGGTATTAATGACTCAGCACACTTGATTTTTTTTTTTTTAACATGGGTGCTGGAGACTGAATTCAGGTCCTTGTGCTTGCAAAGACAAGTACTCTACTGAATGAGCTATCATCCAAGCATCAATGAGCATCAATCCAAGATGGGAATACTTTTTGAACTTTAACTAAAACCACTATATTTGAAATTGATTTAAAATCATGACTATTTGAGATTAACACCCTACCCAGTAAGACATGCAGAATCCCATATGAACTATCCTGTTTGGCTTTCAAATGGGTAATGTAGTCTCTCTTCTTCTAAAAGCTTTCCCAACATTATACAGAAAGAACTGGATGAAGACAAATTAAACCTTGTTTTGAGACCTTTTTCTTCTTATCCCTGTATTTTACTAAGCTATTTTCTGCAGCTCTTCTTTCTTACAGTGCACTTTTAAGTATGTGACATTACAAAACTGATTTGTAGTCCTGACTTAGTCATACCCTCATGTGTCATAAATAATCTTTAAAACTTATCAAAATAATGTCAGGTGTGGTGGAGGCACATGCCTATAATCCCAGCACTTGGAAGGCCAAGGCTGGAGGATTTCAAGTTTTGAGGCCAACCTAGGCTACATGGGAAGACTGTATCTCAAAGAATAATAAATAAATCAAGGAGCTGGAGAGATGGCTTAGTGGTTAAGAGCACTTGTTTTTTTTGTAGAGGACTCGGGTTCAATTCCTAGTACCCATGTCAGGCGATTCACAACTGCTTGTAGGTCAAGGAGTGCTAATGCCTCTGGCCTCTGTGGGTACCTGCACTGCTGTGCATATCCCGTATCGCACTCAGACAAACAGACACACATACACATATAATTAAAAAATAATAAAAATATTTCAAGGCCAGCCTGGTCTACATAGTGAGTTCCAGGCCAGCTGGGGCTACAAGGAGACCCTGTCTCAAAAGACAAAAAATAAATAAATAAATAAATAAATAAATAAAAGATATATGTCTAAATAAATAAAATAGGGTTAGGCATAGCAGTGCATGCTTTTAATCCCAGCACTTGGGAAGCAGAGGCAGGTCTTTAAATTTTCAAGTTATATTTATTTACTTATTTTGTGTGTATGTGGATTCATGCATGCCACCAGACACTTGTGGAGCTCAGAGGACAACTTGTGAGAATCAGTTCTCTCCTACTATCATGTGGGTTGTAGGAACTGAATTCAGGTTGTCAGCCTTGGCAACAAGTGCCTTTATCCATTAAGCCATCTTGCTGGCTTTACTTCAGTTTTAAAAAACTGTATCTTATGGGATGGAGAGATGGCTCAGCATTTAAGAGCACTGGCTGCTCTTGCAGAGCACCCAGGTTTGATTCCCAGCACCCACAGGGTGGCTAACAACTGTCCGTAACTCCAGTTCCAGGGGAATCTGATGCCCTCTTTTGACCTCTGTGGGCACTGCAGGATATGGGTGCACTTACACCCACATGCAGGCAATACATTCATACACAGAAAATAAAAATCAGGCTATCTTGTATCCCAGGTGACACTGAACTCCTCATCTACCAGCTTCCACCTTCCAAGCGCCAAGATTACAGGGGTCACCACCAGCCAGTGACAGGTTCTCCCTGTAGCCCCAGCTGGCCTGGAACTCACTATGTAGACCAGGCTGGCCTCAAACTCACAAAGATCTGCCTGCCTCCGCCTCCCGAGTGCTAGGATTAAAGGCGTTCCACCAATCAAACAATGCTTATTATTAAACATTATTAAAAACACACACACACACACACACACACACACACACACACACACAGGTGTGCACGCGCACCACTGGAGAGATGGCTCAGCAGTTAAGGGCACTGACTGCTCTTGCAGAGGACCTGGGTTCACTTCCCGGCACCCACATGGTGGTTAACAACCATCTGTAGCTCCAGTTCCAGGGGATCTGATGCCTTCTGACCTCTGTGGTACTCCGCGACACGGGTGCACTTACACGTATGCAGCCAATACACTCATACACATAAAATAAAAATAAATAAAAATATTTTTTTAAAAAAGCACACCCAATACCAAAACAATTGACACTTGCAACTCAGACTAGAGACTCAGTGAGTTCTCAAACACAGCTTTTCCACATAAAGTCATTCATAAAAAAAGACAGGGAAGAATGCTGGTTTCCAGTTTTATTCCAGAACACAGACATCCCTACTCCACCTCTTTCGGTCTCTGTTTGATAAGGTCATGCAACCAACTTACAGTTTTGACAGAAGTCTTCATCAGACCCATCAGGACACTGCCGCACTCCATCACAAGCCAGAGTGATGTCAATGCAGCAGCCGTTGTCACAGAAGAAATGGTACCTCGAGCAGACGCTGGAGCATCCTGTTTGTAAACAAGACTCAAGTCACAAGGATGCAGGACCATTTAATATCTTCTTTCAGGATGAGCCAACAGTCAGGAAAGGGGACTACACAGGAGAAGGTGTCAAGGGTAATGAGGGAAACCATGGGGCAGGAGCAAGACTTTCTCGGATGGCTGGGAGGTCCCTTCTTCAACCCCCTGTCTACAGTCTTAGGAAGACCACAGGGCTCTCTCCCTGACAGTGGGTCTCCATGCCTTTGTTGCTTAGGAGGCGGGAACACAGGAGCAGTGGCTCTGGCTCCATTGGTGTCCTCCCTCAGTGGTCTTATTTTACATTCATTCCTTCTCTATCACTAGGGCCTCTCACTCAGGAAGTTTATGTTTCCCCAGTTCTCCTTCCTGGGTCATATGACCATGCTTCAATAATGATTCGTTGTATACATACTGTAGTCTGCATTCTTGGCTTAGGAGGCGGGAACACAGGAGCAGTGGCTCTGGCTCCATTGGTGTCCTCCCTCAGTGGTCTTATTTTACATTCATTCCTTCTCTATCACTAGGGCCTCTCACTCAGGAAGTTTATGTTTCCCCAGTTCTCCTTCCTGGGTCATATGACCATGCTTCAATAATGATTCGTTGTATACATACTGTAGTCTGCATTCTTGCTTTCTAAGTAATACTTTTTTTTTTTTTTTTTTTTTTAAAAAAAATTTTCCTTATGTAGCCCTGGTTAACCTA